AACTCCCCATTGTGAAACATGAAATTTTAGCAGAAGAAAATGTGGAAAGAGGATGAAGGCAAATGCTGGAACACATATTTCCATTACTCTGGAACCTCCTTGGCTATTCACAATTCTATTTTTTTTTCTTAAGACTAATTGTAACAATGGTTCTAAAATTAAAATTGGACACTAGCCTATTTCGTGTGAATTTTTCAAAATTATTGTTCTTCTCGTGAAAAAAAAAATGTACGTTTCATTAAATTGGGTGAAAATGGTTGGGGAAAAATTACCAAAGGCATTTTAAGAAGTGTTGGGTAGTTTATAGATCTAAGTTGCTCATCTGATTTTATCTTTCAACAGAAAATGACAGGATGGAAGAAGAAAAGACAGAAGAAGCAGATACCTGGGGAAATAAAGAAGGGAAGGACAAGCCAGAGGCAGGGGAAGAGAGGTTGCTTCATGAACGTCCCAAGAAAGGAGGTTGATATGGGAGGTGACTAAACAAAAGTGTGTACAAATACAGGAGGATGTGTTCAGGAGCTGTGGAAATATGGCAGACTGAAGCATACATATACGTGATGTCCTAGGTTGGATGTGAAATCTGTCACGAAATATTCAGGTAAAGGGTTTGTTTACTTACCCTTGCTTACTTTCCTGCACAATGTGTTCATCAGTTGAGCACAAAACGTCAGGGTGATCCATTACGTGTGGTTTGAATGTAGCAGGAGGGACATAGTCTGGATCTGCATCTAAGTTACTGATACATTCCCAACGTGTGATGAAGGGGGAATCACAGCATTGGCAAACCTGGTTGTTTATGTGATGCTCTTTATGATACCGGCATATAGATCCTATCACTTTGTCCGTCTGAGAGCAAAGAGAGAGAAAGAGAAAGAAAATTCCAGTGAAATTCTTAAGTTACATGATGTGAGCACTATATCTATTAGATGTACGTTATAGACATAACATGTCAATGTTATGTGATGCTGAAGATTGTATGAAAGGTAGGTCAAAAGCAGTTCTGACTAAATTAATACCTTTTTCTCTGAATATTAAAAATCACACACCTTCCTCCCCAGGACTCAAAGTCTTTGAGATGTAATGTAGACTACTGGTGATAGCATCAGTCTGTTTCCAATTATCTGTCTGTCTGTCTGTCTGTCTGTCTGTCTGTCTGTCTGTCTGTCTGTCTGTCTG